GGTTCCGGAAGACTAGCCTCTATACCAACTTCAGACAAAAAGTGTGACAATATGCTGCGACGCCGAGTCTAACACCTGGGAGTCTACTAGTATTACCCTGCCTCTTAGGTTAATAAACCCTAGCTCCGAAATTCTCAAAATATCACATCAGATTCTTGCTGCTTATATATTCTATCAACAATGATATGTATCTGGTGAATTTAAAGGTCAGGGTTTGCTAGCTTAAGAGGTAGGGTAACAAATTTCCCAGGTGTTACACTCGCTGTCGCAGCAATATTATTACACTTTTTGTCTGAAAGTTGGCACAGAGTTTAGCCTATACTTGCCTAAAAAAAAAAAGGATGGGGGGTTGCCATAAACGAGTCGGTTACTTAAGAACACAATAAAACTTTTTTTTTCGGTTAGTAGTTGAAAACAATCAATGCGGAGGTAATGATAGACAGTGAGGCTTTACGCAGCGGAGTAGAACGGCTTAAGTGGTAATACAAAGTTTATATTAAGCGGAGATGAAGATCATGATTGATTGTAATAAGTCGATGGGTGGGGGAGACTTGAGGAAAGTTGTGAATAGGAAGAAAGGAGTGAAGAGAGAAAAGTGAGGAAGGAAAGAAAGACGGGTGTGAAAACCTTTCATACCTTGCGCATCACCTCGTTGATGCATACGTGTACTGTACTACACGGCCTTAGAGTGCGGGAATAGAGTCACGGCGCCCCGGTGCATAATTCAAAGTTCGAAGTTAGAAGTCCTAGGTCTTGGCAGCCATGCCCAAGGCAACGCTTGAGAAAAGCAGGAAATACGCAATGACACAAACTTCCTTGCTGTGAAGGAGTTTTCTTCCCTCTCAAATATTCGCCAAGAGTTCCAACTTCCAACTTCCAACTTCGATTTTTACGCGGGGCGCCGTGACTCTAATGACCTTCTGGACTAGAAGGGACGAACACGACAAGAACCGATTGCTTCCTAATTCCTTCTTTCTTGTGGGAGCCCCTGTGAACTACCACAAACTTGTTCCTATACGCTCCTATTCTAAACGTTTGACACAAAAACCGACACGAACACCGTTTTGACCCTTTACGACACTATTTTGTTTTTAGCTTACCTCGCCGTCACTTTTAAAGGCCGAATCTTGTTTCTTTCATCTGTGGCAAGGCGGATATTCGTTTTTTCAGTACCGCGAAGATGGTGCGAGAGCTAGCAGGCGTTAATCCCTACATGAGGCGCGGCTTAACACCACTTTCATGGGCTACCGAGGGTGGGCATGAGGCAGTGGTTAAGATGCTGCTAGAGCGGGACAATGTCAACCCCAACATTGCAGATAGCCGTGGCAAAACGCCACTCTCCATAGCCGCCAAGAAAGGACATGAGAGAATAGTGAAGATGCTGCTAGAACGAGTGGATATCAACTCCAACACTGTGACGAACGATGGCCTAACGCCTCTCTTGATAGCCGCCAGCGAGGGCCATGAAGGGATCGTGAAGATGCTATTGGAGCGGAACGATGTTAACCCCAACACTGCGGAAATCGGTAGATGGGGGGTACGTGGCCAGACACCACTCTCCATAGCCGCCCGGAAAGGACATGAGAGAGTCGTGAAGATGCTGCTAGAACAAGTGGATATCAACCCCAACACTGCGACGAACGGTGGCCTAACGCCTCTCTTGATAGCCGCCAGCGAGGGCCATGAAGGGATCGTGAAGATGCTGTTGGGGCGGGACGATGTCGATCCCAATACTACGGATAGTGGTGGCAAAACGCCACTCTTTATGGCCGCCTCGGGAGGGCATGGGGAGGTCGTGAAGATGCTGCTGGAGCGGAACGATGTTAACCCCAACGCTGCGGAAATCGGTTGGTTGGGGCTACACGGCCACACGCCACTCTCCATAGCCACCCAGAAAGGACATGGGAGAGTCGTGGAGATGCTGCTAGAACGAGTGGATATCGACCTCAACTCTTGGAAGCGCGGTGGCCAGACACTGCTCTTTAGGGCTGCCTGGGAGGGGTTTGAAGGAGTCGTGAAGGCACTGCTAGAGCGAGGGGGCGTCAACCCTAACACTGTCGATAAATATGGCCAAACTCCACTCTTCGGGGCCGCCTCGAAAGGGCATGAGGGAGTCGTGAAAATACTGCTGGAACGAGTGGATATCAACCCCAACACTGTGGAGAAAAATAGCCTAACGCCACTCGCCACAGCCATCCAGAAAGGACATGAGAGGGTAGTGAAGATACTGCTAGAACGAGTGGATATCAACCCCAACGCGGCGAAGAAAAATGGCCCAACGCCGCTCTTGATAGCCACCCGCATAGGCCATGAAGGGATCGTGAAGATGCTGTTAGAGCGGAACGATGTCAATCTCAATACTACGAGTAGTGATGGCGAAACACCACTCTCTTGGGCCGCCTGGGATGGGAATGAGAGACTCGTGAAGATGTTGCTAGAACGGAATGATATCAACCCCAATACTCAAGATAAGGATGGCCAAACACCACTCTTCGGAGCAACCTGGAAAGGGCGTGAGGGAGTCGTAAAGATACTGCTAGAGCGGAACGATGTCAACCCTAACACCGCTAATCTATCCGGCCAAACCCCACTCTTCATAGCGGCCAGGAAAGGGCGCGAGAGAATGGTAAAGATGCTGTTGGAACGAGTGGATGTCAGCACCGATATGAAAGATCTCGCCGGCGAAACCGCACTTTCTCAATGTCTAAACCGTGGAAATCATGCCATTGTGAAATTACTATCTGAACATAGAAAATTCGTTCCTCCATCAGATGGTGATGGACTTACAGTACTTTCCTTACCCAAGCCGTCCGATTCAGATCAGCGCCCCTCCAAAAGGTTCCGCAGGTCTTGATGTCCAAGGCCAGACCTCAGCATATCTCCTATTCTTCGAACGTCCATCTGATCAACCTCCATCTGATCAACCCAAGACCAACGGCTACCAAGCCCTTTAACACACCTACTATGCGGCCTCCACCTTCCTTTTTCTGTCTATCTGTTGCGCAATATCACCTACATTCCTTTCCATTTCTCCCCTTTTCTTTCAGGTCTCTTCTCCATTTAGTCTATTTGCTGCACTGTCGTCCTACTGCAGGGTGGGGCGACGATTTTCCACACACTCTTCGTGCCGTGGGCATCCATATTTGGTTATCCTTGCTTGCCGACCGTGGACAGGGGGAGTGACCAGGGATTAATTAATCCTGCTGGCTGTTTCACTGATTCCCGTGGCCATCAACTTTTACATCATAGCATTACAGGTTTATCATAGCCCCCTCCCTTTCTTTCTTTCTTCGTTACAAGCTGTTTTTCCTCATCGTTAAATTCAAGGCATGTGTTATTCACATTTTTCCTGTCAAACTAGAGCCTTAATTACGTACCCTTTATTTATTTCTAGTATCATAGAATAGAAGCCCCCCGTCCCTCTTTCTTGCAGTCTTCCAGTGGGTGACGGGAAGCAATTCCGATCCAAAGAAACAGTGTTTATAATCCCCTAGCATGTGTATTATGCAAGCAACCGTCGGAAGCTGGGCTTGTCTACTTCGCTCTTCCTATCTCTTCATCATGATATTATACCCAAAGTACTGCCTTATACCTTGCCGTCCTCAGCTCCTTATCCTCTACTAACATTGCTGAACTTCGAGTAATGCTGCATCCGCACTCGACGGATTCAATTAATGCACACTCAAGACCGTTCCGTTTTGCCTAGTGTCATAATATTACTGTTCTCGGCCGCCCACGCAAAAAAATGACTGAAAAAAAAGAGACAGAATCATTTCTCAATATCCGTAGACTTTGGCTCCTGGAATTTATGTATATCACTAGTAGGCCTTTTTCCTTCCTTTCCTTCCTGGTCCCATACTCTATCTAGTTCATGCCACAATTTTCTCTTTTCTCTTTTCTCTTTCTTTCCTTTTACTTCAACATAGCACCATTACTCCAGTACTGTAAAGCTAAGTTAGCCTATAGCTATGATGCGCAAAAGGACAAGCATTACACAAACTATCCCTCGATCTTAAAGTGGCTCAAAAAAGGTTAAAATATTTACCACAGCAAAGGAAAGACCCTGTTAAATATTTTCAATCCAAAACTTTCGGTGGTATCTTTGGGCTCTTCTGTGTTCTATGCTCTTTAATATTTAATGATCCGAGAAAAAGGGATTGTAGCAGCATTCCTAGAGTATTATAGAGCTAGCGCAAAATGCCAACTAAATGGTTACCATGAGCTTCGTAAGGTATGATATTTTTGTGCCTAATGTTTCCAATGCAGTGAGGTATTAGGTTCGCAGAGAATGAGTGATAACGCAGGCCTATGAACAAGAGAAAATAATCTCACTGATTGAGGCATCCCAGTCACTCTTTTGCTCCATTCTGAGCTTTGTGATCATCCCTAAATACTAAATTAGATAGGACTTCAACTGACCTCAACACCGAAACCATCAAAAAAGTGGTTTGCAAGCCCTTTTTTTTTTATGCCCAACTACATCCACTGGACTGGGATTTGAACACATGGTGGTCCCTGTTTCAGATTAGTACTGACCAGTTCCTTAGTCATTAGACCATCGGGACTGGTGGATAATTACCACTCTTCTTGGAATTTTCAGTGAGATCTTCTTTAGGTATCATAGGAAAATTGCGAAAAACCTGATAGTAATATATCAAGTGCTGCAGCTCTTATATTACCGTGGCCTCAGCTCCTTACTCTAGTTATTTTCCCAGCACGACATTCCTCAATAGTGATGGAACTACTCCAACGCTTAGTCTGCTCCCATTTGTACACCCACCTCCAGCTAGGCGTGAATGGCTATAGGAGGTGAGTATTTTGCAATGGAAGTTGTAGTTGTCTTTGATATTATCATATCTATAATAACTTTGTTTTTTGTCTTTCCCACCCTTGTTTCCAATTCTTTCCATTACAATATTTGGTGTTGGGGGGCTCGAAGCTCTTACAGCAACCGGTCTATGATCTTGGATGTCCTGGGGGGTAAAAAAGAAAAAAGTTGATGAAAGGAGGGGGATTCGAACCCCCGCGGACAAAGCCCATGAAAAACCCCACTTGCTGAAAGCTCGGACCACACGTCATAACCACTCGGCATCCTTCCAGCTGCCTATTTTCTTCAAGGGGAATAAGGTAAGAGGTGTTTGAGAGCTCCCCTTTTTAAGCTGACACAGGTTGAATCCTGAACGGTATACCTTGGTTGGTAGATTCAAAATCAATTTCGTGGTTAGAAGATACATTTACATGTTGTTAACCTATCGGGAGAATTTGGACATTCGCGTTTGTGAAGCCTATAGCGCTAGCGCGAGGAGGGTGCGCACTGGGCGTTTGTATCTCCTCCTCTACCTCTCGGACCTAAGAATATGAATTTTTTTTTCAAACCTGTGCAGAATGGGCCCTGGGATGGAGTGCTCTTGGAAATAACCAAGCCTACCCCAAGGGAAGCTTCATTGACTAATATTATAATATTATAACAATAATATTAGGATAGCATACCATAGGAGCCCAACGACAATGGAATAGAAGCCCCTACTACCAATACCATGGCACTTTCGGTTCTAGATGCCATTTAAGTTCTTCAGTGAACTCACCTTTAAACCGAAACCCAGCCCTTCACCCCCATACTTCTGCAAAGCACACAATCGCTAAAGCTCACAACTATGAACGTCGCCACCAAAGCCCCCATCCTCCGGGGTAAACGCACCACCCTATCCCCGATCGACACCTCTCTTCTCGTCCTCGCCCCTTTCGCTGTGGTGGTCTACAATCTCTACTATCACCCTTTCTCCCCCTTCCCAGGCCTGTTCATGGCAAGTACCGGGTCCAGCTGGCTTACCTGGGAATACGACAGCGACCTTGAGGACCTAGAGCCCCTCCTGCACGAAGAATATGGACCCATCGTTCGCATCTCGCCTAACATAATTTCCGTCAATGACCCCAACTACGTCAAGGAGATAAGCATCCAGGCCAATCCCCCCCATTGGTGGCTACCCTTTGGGCATGAGGGGGTCAATGATGTGTTTTTCGTCCCTCCCCCGGGGCTGCATGCCGAGTGGAGGAAGTGTAGTGCGCCAACTTGCTCTGTGGGTATGGTAGGACTGTGGGAGGGTGTTGTGGATTGCCGGGTTAGAGAATGGGCTGAGAAGCTGAAGGCCAAGTATGGCAGCAGCGAGGCTCATTTGGACCTTTCTGAGTGGGCTAGGCATCTGAGTGTCGATTTGGTTGGGTTGGTGGTTTTCGGGGTAGACATGGGGTGTACGCAGAATCGGGAGGATGTGAGTATCTCTAGTGTTTTAAATGGGCACCCCGACTGGCAGAAGAAAGAGCTGATTTTAGGATCTGTGGCTAGAATAAAGGTCGTACCCCAGCATTTGAAAGCGAATTGGAAAATGTCGGGGTCTTGGCTGAGCTTCGTACCATCTATCGCACGCTTACTTGGAATTCGTTCATCCCCAACATTTCGGGGGAGAAGGCAGATAGGGAGGGGCCTGAAGCTCTGCGAGTGAAGGCTGGACTAATCATTGATACAGCGTGGATGTCTAGGGAGAAATCAGAGGCCGGTGGAGAAGAATGGCATCTCAATAGCGAATATGCTACGCAAGCAGTTACTATGCTTGAAAAGTTGCTACCTGCAATCCTTCTTTCCATTTAGCCCTATGCAAATCCACAAAGCTAACTGCCAACAGGGCGATGTCCGCCAAAAACTCTGAAGGCACTAGATTCACTAAAGAAGAAGTTCTCACCAAGTGTTTCCCTCCCTTGTACCTCCCCCCCAATCTCAAACACCAACACAAAAACTAACACCCCCGCTAGTCTCGCAAGCAAAGACTCCATAGCCTTCGCTATAACCAACACACTCAAACTCCTCTTTACCAATCCACGCGTTCTCGCAACTCTCCTTTCCGAACTCGCAACCTATTACTGGCAAAAACCCCTCTCGGAAATCCCACCCTGGACAGACATTGAAGATCAGGGTACCAGACTCCCCTACCTCTCGGCAGTCCTGCACGAGTCCCTACGCTTCAATCCAGCCTTTCTCATGAGTTTTCCACGCATAGTCACCTCTTCTGGAACTGAGCTTACCCATCGGAACTGTCTCTACACCCTCCCCGGGGGGCTCCAGATCTACCTAAATCCCATTGTCATCTGCAGGAACAGACGCATTTTCGGAGAGGATGTGCATCATTTTTGCCCTGAGAGGTGGTTGGAGGGGACTAGGGAGAAGATCGAGAGGATGAAGACTGTCGGGTTTGGATGGGGCGCTGGTAGTAGCGATTGTTTTGGGAAAGCTCTTGCCCAGATGATTGTTGCCAAGGCGGTGGTTACGGTCTTGAGGAACTTTGAGGTTGAGTTGCCAGTGGGCTATTCAAGTGGGGATGTGTGGAATTTAGGAGCTATGGGAGGGAGCAGTGCTGCTGAGTTTTGGGCTAAGGTGAAGTCGAAGGAATGGCCAGGAGCGGAGGGAGAAATGGGTGGACCGAGTGAGCATTTGTGATTTTGAGTTGGCCATGATTTTCTCAGCTTAGGGCAGATATTTTCCAGCCGCCATGAGATCCTGAGTGCACTAGTGTATTGTAGGCCATCTTCCAATATATGATGTCTAAAATATTTGATAATGTTGCTGCCAGATGCTCAATCCCAACATTACACTTTCTTTCTCCGCTGTGTGGTAGAAGCAAATTCGCATCATCTGCCAAAAGCACAGCATTTCGACTCTGGAGAGGCTGGTAGAATGAAAGGAATAAATAAATTCTATAATACGGCGAGGCGACAAAAGTGGTCCTCACTCGCACTTTTTACGCAAAAAGTGGCTATTTTTGCGAGAGAGAGAGTGCCTAAGGTTACGAGCAAGTGAGCAATCGGAGCCACAACCTCAACCTCAACCTCAACAGCAGAATAATCTCGCCAAGAGAAAAGGAAAGAAAAAGGCTACAATGCTACTTCCAAAGCTACTCAAGTATCATATCATACAGTCTGGCAAATGACCCCCGAGCACAACACTGTATTTAATAAATACCATTACTTTTACCCACCCAATTCCAACTTTCAAAAGAAAAAAAGAAAAGAAAACTCCTTGCCAACACTCTGATGTAAGCCCCGCTCCATGGCTCTCTCCTATTTTGGTGCAAGGAAGATTGAAGACTTTCTACTCACTGTGATATCCTAATGAGTTGGTATAGCGGTCCATGATAATTGGTCTATATTTTATTCCATTTTTCTCTACGATTGCGCAATTTACTGTGTATCATAGATGCGTTTTGCTTCCGCGCAAGCTCAGTTATGGTGCGACGGGCCCACGATTTCAGTGTGTTTTTTCGTTGATCAGCACCATAACTTAATTTCCATGTAGGCAGTTAGGGGGTGCGTCGTCAGTGCGGATGGGTAAAGTTCGCCTTGGGGATTCTCGCTTCTGGGGGGTTTGAGGTCAGGTTTGTTCTGGTCTAGAATAGCTAGTTGCGCATATTACTTGTGTTATTTAGTTTGTATGGGGGGTCTTATGTGTCGTACCAATGTGTTATGGGAGTGCGTAGCTTGGAGATAGGAATAATCTTATCTTGAATTTATATTTGAGAAGGGATTATTGAGTTTATTGTACTCCAGCAGCTAGGTTGAGGTTGGACACTTTCTATGGGACTTGCCACCTTAGGTTTCCAACTTCAACTCGGCAGCGGGATTATTCGTAATGTTTGTTTTGTACTCGTAATGTTTGTTTTGTACTCGCAATGTTTTGTTTTGTATTCGTAATCCTAGGTGTCAAACTTCGACTGGGCCGCGTACTTGTTGACTGGGCCGCTGGGCCTATGACGACACAGGTATGCTCCCTTCCTCCCTTTCATTTATTAACCCTCTTTCCTCCCATTCATCCTTTTTCCTCCCATTCATCCTTTTTCCTCCCTTTCATTTATTCATCCATTCTTTCATCGCTAGCACAAAGCATACCAACAATGTTGTCTAAAAACTCTCTCACTCTCCAAAACTTAACCTCGGACTCCCAGTCCCTACCACTGTGCATACCCAGCAGCGGTGTGAATGTTCGCTCACTTGTAGCCTACTTCAATCAGAAATCCAACGAGCAGGCTACCTTCAAAACTAGGGGTGGGAAAGTTCACTTACTTGTGGCTTACTTCAACCAGAAAAGCCACGAGCAGGCAATCCCCCAAACCTCCGCACCGCATCATCACAATTGGAAGACGATTACAGGCGAGAAGGTGAAGTCTCTCGTACTGAATTTCTCTCGCATGGGGATGTCTCCGCCTGGGAGTAATAGCCGGGTTAGCAGTGCTAGTCTTGTCACTGTTGATGAAGTGTATTCCCAGGTTGGGAAAATGGTGGTGGAGAATGATTGTGCTTCATTTGAAAGTAAGGGTGCGGGGAGGGGCGGGGCTCCCATGAAGTGCACCTTACCACGGGTTAACGATACCCTCCCATATGTGGTTTCTTCGCCCAAGCCGATCGGGAGTGTGGATGAGAGTGCCAAAGAGGATCTCGGGGCTGAAGAAATGGTGGTTGAGAATGATTGTGCCTTATTTGAAAGTAATGGTGCGGGGAGGGGCGGGGCTCCCATGAAGTGCACCTTACCACGGGTCAGCGACACTCTACCATATGTGGTTTCTTCGTCCAAGCCGATCGGGAGTGTGGATGAGAGTGCCCAAGAGGATCTCGGGGCCGGCGAAATGGTAGTGGATAATGATTGTGTCTTATTTAAAAGTAAGAGTGCGGGGAGGGGCGGGGCTCCCATGAAGTGCACCTTACCATGGGTCAGCAATACCCTACCATATGTGGTTTCCTCGTCCAAGCCGATCAGGGATGTGGATGAGAGTGCCCAAGAGGATCTCGGGGCTGGCAAAATGGTAGTGGATAATGATTGTGTCCTATTTAAAAGTAAGAGTGCGGGGAGGGGCGGGGCTCCCATGAAGTGCACGTTACTACGGGTCAGCGATGCCCTACTATATGTGGTTTACTTGTCCAAGCCGTTCGGGAGTGTGGATGAGAGTGCCAAAGAGGATCTCCGGGCTGAAGAAATGGTGGTGGAGAATGTATGTGCTTCATTTGAAAGCAAGGGTGCGGGGAGGGGCGGGGCTCCCACGAAGTGCACCTTACCAC